CCGCCTGTCGGACCGGTTCCCGCTCGCCACAAGCAGCAGACCGCAAGCCTGTCGCACGGCCGCCGTAAGCCCGCCGCAAGATCGTCGCAAAGATATTAATTATCAAAAATCAAAAGATAGTAAATTATTGCATGACGTAGCGGAGCTGCTTTATTTGAATAACGATAATTTTTTATATAATCATCTTACACACCTCTGTCTACGTCAGTTGATTCAGAAATGATTCAAATCAGGTAAGGACCTAAAGAAGTAAGATAAGATTATTTCGGGGCTCGAATTTATACAACAGGAATTATTTGAGATTGAGAGCTAAGTCTATTGTATTTAAGTCCCATCACTGTTCACTGTGGTAATTAAGATCGCGACGGGTGGTGAGGGGCGGGAAGGGCGACACGACATCGACGCGCCGCCAGCGGGAGATTGCAATGTCGCCGATGCCAGTGAGCGTTTACCAGACAATACGATGTGAATAATTAATGGGATCAATTACTTATGTAGATCACATCTCTGACTTTCATTATCGCCCAGAGCTGCTTCCGCCCCGCGCCGCCTGCGCGCCGCCTGCGCGCCGCCTGCGCGCCGCCTGCGCGCCGTGCTGCCGTATAATAAAGACGAAACTTTAGCGATGATGAGATCGCAGCAATCGTATTGAATCAATTAGTTTTATGCCATTGTTTATAGAACGATGCATTCAAAGAAATGTAAATAATAGAGAAGAAATATACTAATGTTATTTCACTTAAATGGAAGCACTTAAATATGAAGCAGAGTAGAATGTACCTCGTGCGTGTAATGTCCCCGGGGAACATTTGCAAGTCGTGAACAGCGCAATAAATCGCGGCGAGGATTTACTTGCCGAGCACATCACGACACAAACTTTGGGAGTAAATATTAAGGAAACGTGGAAAAACTGGGAAGCGACGCAGCTGCGCTCCCGACACGTGCCCTCGACACGTGCCGCGCGCCCGCCCACATAGCAGATAACCCCTCGTAAGGTAGCAGAGTCAGTACCTCAACCAAAAGGCTTTGATGACAAATTAAAAAAAAGTGTTTGTTTACGTTTTATTATAGTAGTATATGTATATTGTTTTATCTGTGGCATGGATGTCTCTGCTCCCGGCTCGGGTCGCGGCAATGCACCGATAACGTATCGCACTTGATCTGCACCCAAAACAAATTGATTAGCAGTCTTCGAGAAAATATAATATTAGTGATGGAAGAGTGTAGTGTAGAGAGCGACACACAAGGCGGGCCGCGCGCTGGCCAGCGTAAACTTGTCAGCTGTGTTCGTTAAAAATTGTTGAAACTACGAGAGTTCTTCAGCTGACCGCACCCCCTACTCTAGCAAACGTGTACAAAATTTACTTATTCGTTTATATAATACGTGGTAGACATATATCATTATAATTTAAATTCTATGAAATCACACTTAATCCTATTGGACTAAGTGTGATTTTCGGTGTACCACCACTTACTTTTGGTACACTGTAATTACGTGATTAGGAACTTACAGAAAGCCATGATATTAACCTAATCGCGATGCGGAATTCCCACGTTCTATGAGCGAGGTGGTTACAAGCAGCGGCGGCGGCGGCGGCGGCGGCGGGAGGGAGCCACGAAATTCTGTTTGTAACTTTGAAACAACAATGCAATACTTCTCACGTAGAATACTTACTACTGTTAATGAATACCAACTGATACTTCTGCTTTCAAAGGTGCCGTAAAATTGATTATGTCATTAATAATGTTTTGAGATATGTAAAGTGACATTAATTTGTTTTGGCCAATTGGTTACAATGTTTTATGATCAAGCTCACTGTATCGTGACCGACGTCAAGGAGAACAGATCGTCTTCCGAACAAAAAAATATGTAATTCATCCTTTTCTTTCAATTGTCTGTAATATTGCGAAACGTTTAGCTCCAGTGCTCGTGCAGCTCGACGCTTCTCTGTGACTGCTTATTTCTTGCTTCACTTCACTCAGATTGTTATCTTAAGTAGCTTCTTTCATATGTTTTTTTCTGTTTAAAAACGCTTTGTGAAGTATTGTGTTTAAATTTGATATGTGAATGTTCTTCCCGAATTGACTTGAACTTACTACAATGTTTAAAATACGATACGTTATGGAGCGCTACCCCGGCGCCGCCGCCGCCGCCGCCGCCGCCGTCGTCGTCCCTTCCGGACCTTTTGCACACATTAACATTTGTTAGAAACTGCTATTATGGAATTACCTGGCTTTAGTTGTTTCATTCGTTAGCTAATTACAGTTTAAATCCAACCCCCTCATATAACAGACAAAGTAATTGTTTATTCTAGGCATGTATATGTTGTGTAACATTTAACATATTTACTTAGCGAAATATATTTTATTTACGCCGATACTTCGAGAAGCTTTATGAGTTGTTAAACATTCTTTTACAAAAAGCAATTTCACATAATTATAATATATGTGAATTGTACTATAAATATAATAACGTGCGGTGCGGTGCGGTGCGGTGCGGTGCGGTGCGGTGCGGTGCGGTGCGGTGCGGTGCGGTGCGGTGCGGTGCGGTGCGGTGCGGGGCGTGTAGGACGGCCTGTGCTTATCGCACCAGCGACGGCAAGGCTGTGGAGCGAGGACGCTTGTTTTGGGTGACTGTAATATCAACCTTGCCGCCTTGCCATAAATTACATTTTTGTGCCAGCCATTTTTGGATTTAAACACTTGTTTGCAGTTTGTGGAGTGTTGTTTATCAGAAGTTGACGCCATTTACCGAGTAACGACTCGCTAAGTGGGTGCTTACAACTTAGAACTAAGTAGTTCAAGATTTCATAACTGGGCTTATAACGACATCGCTGTGTCGTTAGCAGACATCATGACAACTGCGTTCGTCGCTGGCAGCTTTACTGGTGTACAGCGCACGATTGTAATGTGCCGTCAAAATAAAATATAAAATAAAAATTACACATTTGAAATTAATATAAACATATCTTAAAGTCTTGATAAACTCGAGAAGCGTTTAGAATCTCCGCAAATTGCTCTCCGCTTGTAATATCAGTCCACGTAATTGACTTCAAAATGAATTGTATTCGTGAAAAGGGTCTCGCAATATTTTATCCAAATGCCTATTAGAGTTTTTCATTAGGTCGTGCGGAGCGGCTCTGGCTAAGATATGGGAATTTTACGTGAGTCAAATACCGATCAGCCAACAACTAAGTGCTTGCTGTGTGTCGACTACGAGCAACTGACTCGCTGACAGTTACCTCGTGTCGTGAGACAACTCCTTACAGAGTTAATTTCTATCTAAAGTGTGAACTAATTCAATTTACGAGAAGCAGATTTCACATACACTTGATCGTTTTACGACATTTCGTAAACATATAATATAGAAATATGAAATCAGATCGAAATTTTAAAATAAACATACAGACGAATTGAGTATTGACCTCCTTTTGGTAAGTCGGTCAATATCATGTATTTCAAACTAGTTTTTATTTATTTATTGCAATTAAATTATACATCTATATAAAGTAACAACAATAAGTACCCCTTCGGGCGTGTAATATAATGAGTACAAATGCAGCGAAACAAACTTTGGGAACAACAACATAATGCACCTAAAGCCATGTCATATTTGCAACTAAACACTTTATAACACAAAAACAACAGAACGCAACAAAAAAAAAATCTCATCAAGCACAATCTAGATTAACGCGATTGGACAAGGGTTACACCTTAGTTTTAATCCTTGTAGTTAAAGAAATCTTGAATTGAGTAGAAAGCTTGGTCTAGCAACCAGTTTTTTAGATTTATTTTAATATTCGTATAATTATACCGCCATCTAGCGCAAATCAAGTAAATATTACTGTCAGCTGAATTCACGGTCGGCTTCATTCCCTCGGGTCGATCATACAACATTTAGAAACCATCCTCGAGATGGCGTTGTTGCAAATTACGAAGTAGTCAACCACCCTCAAGATGGCGCTGTTACAGATTACGAAATAGGCTAATAAAATGAAGATCAACATTTTGTGGTAGATGGCGTTATTTTATACTAACTCTTTTGTTATTTGATGGCCCCTCTATGATATAGCTTTCATAGCGGTTATCTTAAATTTAATTTTTGATGAGTACTCGAGTAGAGCGAATATATTCAAAATACATAACCTGTCTTTAAATTTTAGTGCAATGAGTTACTTAAGATAAAGTAACTTAAAACTTAAATCAATAGACGAGATGGATGCGCCAATATCCATACTGTTTGATATCATGAACATTTGAGACTCAGTGTTATAAGAAGCTTGTTTCTGTATCGGATATTTCGAAATTGCTATTAAATGTTTAGGCGTGAATACGGAGATTTGCCTACAATTTTTATAACCCAGGTTTGTTTTGTACGCCACTTTATAAATGAATGTTTTCACCGACTCTATAATTTGTCGAGAAAAAGTGGTTGTTCATGTTTGGTCGATGATATCAATATTAGAAACACCTATGATTATTACTTAGGACTTTAGTTGATGTAATACTAATTGGATATCAATAACCGGAAGCCCTATGTAGCGGGTACGTTTTGCAATAGCGTTGGATTTCAACAATCGGCTCCGAGAGTGGCAGGAGGTGTAGCGGTGCAGACAGCAGGGGGGGGGGCGCAGGAGGGTGTAGATGGTCCCGCTGCGGTCAGTCGCCGTCCTACCGCTGCGGTTGCTTTTCTATGTCATCGTCGCACGGATTGTGTGACGCATTACTTTGCCTATGTGCCGCGTGCGCCGCGCACCTACATACCTAATCATTTAAATGTATGTAATTGTACAAAGGACGACGTGACGACTTCGCCATCCGTACATAATTAAGACACAGCACGAGCACTGTTTGCTAGAGATAACTTTTACGATCTGACACATACGACTTTACTTTTACATTTATCTACAAAACACCACGTTTCTGTAGGCGCAATTTGTGCCTACAAGGATCTATGAGGCTGGAGGTTTTTACTATAAGGAGTAATGTTGTGTGCGTAGTACCTGGGCTCGTGCGCAGTGCCGGCTGCGGACGGGCAGTGCGAAGCGGGCAGGCTGTGTGTTGCGGCCGGGCAGTGCGAGGCGGGCGGGGAGTGCCCGATGGCGCAAGGCCACGTCGTGTCTAAGCTATTGCACACTATGAAGGTATACAAAAATAAAACTAACTCTAAGTAAAATACTCAGTTTATCTTGCCAACTTTCCAGTCTAGTTTGCAGCAATCTAATTTAACTTAAAAAAACTAACTTAGTAAATTTCATGAATTATCCTAGGGACGAGGACAAAAATGACGATTGTCTGTTATAAACACATAAGGTCAAGCCTTAGCTCCTGTACCTATAGGCAGCATTTGGTCACTGCCTTGAGGTATATGTATTTAGCAAATAGTAACGCCTCAAGTGCAACGACACATTTCAGAGAACGCCTGTTTAAATAGTTTTTATGTACGCTTTATTATTGTCAACAAATGAAAATGCTCTGCCCGTGTTACTTGTGCTAAGACATGGTTACGCAAGCCGTTGACGCGGAGAGGGTCGCAGGGGGGCAGGGGTCGCCCGTGCTGTGGCGGGGGACGGAGGGGGGCATGATGTGGCGAGGGTCCGCACCCGCGGGACCTGTCCAACTCATTCAACGTGATGAGGAACATTCTCCTCGTTCAGGTGAAGGCTTTTCAAAACACATTACCTATCCGGACGTTCGTTTTTCCCTATAATTTTACGATCTTATGTTATTTTAGATAGATAACAGAAGTTTAAGATTTCAGCGTACTGATTCTATGGATACTTCTCTAAGTAACATTGTAAAAAAAAGTAGTTACAATGTAAAGGAACTACAATTTAAAATTAAATTTATAATAATGCTTTGATCCTAGTCGAGCACAATTAGTGTTGAAAAACTGCAAGACCTCGAGCGAGTCAGCGGCGCATGTAATTGCTCGAGGTGGTGCTCTGCTCGCAGCTGGCACTTCTGTCGCGGCACTTTACTCGCGGGACTTTGTTAGCGGCCATGCGCATTACAGTGTACTTTACCAGTTAATTGAGGCATTTTTTTCGAACTGGCATAAAAAAAAAAACATTTTTTATGAAGTCATGGTTATAAACAACATTAAACAACCAACATACACAATATCGTAACTTCCAACACACACAGTACGTGTGTATGATACATTTAAATGACGAAGCGCGATGTGCTGTACTTCTCAACTTCACAACACCAATGTACCCTTGTTAGACCGCTCCTTCCGTCGTCGAATTCAAACAGATCGCTGCTGCGGATCAAATGATTAAAATTAGGCAACAATTTTCGAAGCAGTCTCTTAACTATATGTTTTCCGTCACCAATGACACAGGAGAGAAAATTACCATCACAGTTGAGATGTACAAAGAGGACCAAAATGTGAAAAGAAACTATGCAGTTAATAGGACAATAATTAGTCGTTTTCTTAATAAAAAAAATAGCTTAGAGTTCAGTGGCTTGCGGGATGTGTGGGCAAGATTCGAGCAGGACGCGGGCAGGGAGCCGGCACGGTGTGGGCGGGGTGCGGGCGGGGTGCGGGCGAGCACTAACGCAGTTCCCCAGTGGCACCATTTAGAAACACTTTGCACCCTCGCGGCAAGGGTTACAAAGTGGTCTTCAATCTCTTCCAACGTAAAGGAAACTACTATACTCTTGAACTTTACATAAATGTATGGAGGTATGTATTATGTATTACAATATGTCAAGAAAAAAATGCGTCGTATATTTGAAATTAAATTAGCCACGTGCCTTCTAGTTACTTGTGTTTTTCTTTTATATCAAAGCTGAGGGACCGGCTCATAACGAGGGTAACGTCGGCTACAAGAGCGGAGATTATGAAATAGGCTCGCGGCTACTTCTAGTTCAATGTGCGGCGCGGGGGCGCGGGGGCGCGGGGGCTCGGGGCGGCTGGCAAGGGGCGCTGCACAGATTGCACTTTGAGCGCCACTTTTACCCGCGCCGCGACGTTTAAATAAAGTCTGCAGAGTGCGGAATTGAAAACGCGCCTTTTCACTTTTCTTTGTATTTCACTTTTGTTGGCAACAATCGCGCGAGACGAGTGCGGTGCGAGGCGGTGGCAGTGGCAGCGGCGGCGTGCTTTTAGGCGGTTGCGATCTGAACGTTGTAATCTGCATGAATGTCTGTATGTACAAAAGGTACCATGTACGATTACTTTACAAAAAGATGGGTATAAATGTTATCAAGTAGGAGCCGATAAAATAATAATTCAAAGTGCAATCCCTTACACGTTGTAAAAATTAATTTCAGTAAAAAATATTTTACATAGGGATATCTTACACTAAATTCGACTTTCAAATTTTGATACAACCGGGCTCATTACAACTGATTAATCAACCTATCTCTCGGAGAAAATCTGCTTCCTTTCTAAGTGTATTGTATACTTTAAATGGTTTGGGAACGATGTTACGTCAGAGGCGCGAGACAATCAGGAGATCGTGGCACAGTACACTAGACGTCGTGACCTTGACTGGCCGCAGCCAATTTAGGCGATGTGCCTTCTCCCCGCCGCCCCCCGCTCCCCGCCCGCGGCGGCACTCGCGACAGCCCCCGGGGGACTCCGCAAGCCTAGATCCCACATTTGCTCCCTCATCTTGTTATCGGCAGGGCTATGAACGTGAAAACGGTTTTAGATATTCAGCGTTTTTATGCCGTTGACGATGTCGCCGCTCCGTCGACAATCACAATTGCTTACATTATATAAAACCAAATATGCGTACGTAAACTACATAGGTATACTTTAAAATGACACAAACTATGTCCAATATTTTTTAATTTATAAAAAATATCATTTTTTTTGGAGTTTCAGTATTTTACGAATTTTATGACGATTGCAAAGATTATAATTTACACAAAGTTGCCGATGTTATAACCTTTTCGAAAATTAATGAATGTGCCGCCTCTGCGAAATCCCTACTCTATGGCCATCTACAGGCATGTGCGAGGCGAGGCGCTCAATCTGCCGGCGACGGGGTTCAGTTCATTCCCGCACTCGTCTTGTCTTGTCTTGATTGTCGTTTAAATTACGCTTTTATTCGGAAGCCGCACGCAAATAGAGATGAGATTGAACGCGCGCGGGGAATTAAAGCTGGCGCGGCTCGCCGCGGCATCCGCGCACAGCCTGCGAGCCTGCGATACTCACTCTTACTCGGCTTTTGTCTTAATCGACCAATTACTCTTGCTGTAGAATCGTCAGATTGCCTTGGTGGCTCTTATTAAAGAGTTATTTAAGGTGTTTACGTCCTGTCGTTGTACAAGCCCATCAATGCGTCATATGTTATTTATTAATGAAGTACACACATACATAAAAGTCCACAGATACAACTTCGGCCCGCTCCGTGTCATGTGTGCGCAGGGTACAAACATAAAACTATTAATTTCTGTTCTGTTGACATAGCACACACAGGCGACAGTTTGATTATCTGTCTCCCCTTGTGTCCACACAACGCATGACGAAGTGCCGCCTTCGCGATCTGATGGCAATACGGACGAGGGCAGAGCTCATTGGTTTCACATGCTTGCTGGTGGTAACCGATTGCTAGCACTAACACCATGTTACATTGTTATACATGCGATCCGGGTTCAGGGGTTCTAACTTAATATTATAATTCAACAGGTTTGGATGGATAGATTTATAGATATAGACGATAGCACGTGACACTAAGTGAGATTATAACTAGTGCAAAATAACTAATACTCGTATGCTACTCAGATTTAGTTGTCTTAGTGAAAGTCCATTTGTGTGAGTTGTAGAGCTAGTTGTCATATTTTATTAAAATAATATTTTGTGTTGGCAGTTGGCACAGCTTACGAACAGAGGATTTAAATATGAACGAGCATTATTAAGAAAATAATATAATATGTAAAATATCTTTTTACCCCAAAAATATTGCGCTTAATATAACCTTTTGTTCAACGACCTCTGTACCGTTTGTTATAGATATTTATGTAAAGAATAAGAAAGGCTAGGCTGAGGTAATGAGATGTACAGAGTCCTCAGGTCACGTCACGTCACGTCACGTCTATGTGGCGTGCTCTGCGCAGCGTGAAATAGGACGTGACCTTGTACGTGTATGTGTTTATTAGCGCGGAGTAAAAGTTTGATTACATTTTTATGGCGCTCTTCTCCACCGAACAACCCCTACGCCAACCCGCGCCACCCTCTGCCCCACAGTGTAATTACGTCGCTCCATTCAGCGACACTCTACAATGTCGTAATGACAACCACAATTTAATTGTTGAAATTACGGAAACAGATTCCACGAGCCATGACTTGTCAAAGCCCGACAGCCGCGCGGCGCGCTAGTGGCAATGCACGGCCTCTTGTAGCCTCTCGCTACGTATATTTCGTAAGGATTACCGATTGTTGATTTTATTGGACGGCTTTATATATTTGTAATGTGTATATAAACTAAGATTGTTGCAATTATCTGAGTTAACAATAGTTAATGGCGTATACGCAGCATACCAATAAATTGTATTTTTGTAAAAGTGATTCTTTTCCCTGGTCTATTGAATCATTTATACGCATGTAAATTTAAAAAAACTTTCAAATTACGTTTAAGAAGTCAGATAATCTTTTTTTAAAACTTAACTATTTTGTAAAATAGCTTTACAAGTATGAGTACCTTTAAGAAGAGGTTTTATAAAGCAGGCAGAGACGATGGCATGTTTTAAAAAGTTAGTGGAAAACTTGGACAGTGAAGACAAAGTTTGGGAAAGGCTTAGGCTGATATCAGGTGATTTAATAAAGACCTCGGGGTGCGTTTTCCTGGCGTTTGCTTCATTGCTAGAGTTGAGCCGAGGTCGTCACTGACTGAGCGGAATGTTCTCTTCAACTAATATCTAGCTATTTTCTTGTTACTTCCAAAAATATATTACTTTCTAGTTTGTGGAGTCTGATGTTGTTTTTTTTTGCATTTTTTATTATATTAATACAGATTCCTATTAAATTAACTGTTAAGCATTGTGAAATTTTATTTTTTCAAAATCAATTCAATCTATGTGAAAGTGGACACTATCAGAATATTAATTAGTTATCTAAATTATTTCAGGGGGTAGATGATATAGTTACGATTTAATTGTTTATAGCAATATCCTGCGCAAATTCACA